CCACTGTCACTGCTCCGTGGGCGCACTCATGCTCTGACACACACACAGAGAGATAGAGACACACACACACACACACACACACACAGAGATAGAGACACACACACACACAGAGAAAGAGACACACACACACACACACACACACACACACAGAGAGATAGAGACACACACACACAGACACACACGGAGCTAATGCAGTGAGAGACGCGCCAACACAAACAGCAGGCGCTTTGGAGCCAGTGTTTACCAACAGCAGGAGAACTGGAAACATGTCCAGATTAAACAAATATTCAAATTTAAACTCCGCAATTTAGCAGCGATGCTAACGTTCATTTACACCAGCAACAAGAAAAAAAATATTTACTTTCTCTTCTAAAACCTCAATACAGTTACCAACTATGTCATCTGGGTCGTACCATGTGTAAACTCTGGTCCATGATCATTTCCTACATGTACGTCTGGGTCTGATCCTAGTGGCTACAGTTTCCTCGGTTGAATTCCCTCCGACCAATCAGAGAGCGGGAGAGGCGGGTGTTGTAGGTCGGTGTCAGTGAGTTTGTGTTGAATTTGCTGGTTGTAGTTTGTCGGAGAATGCGATAGTAAAACAATATGTTCTGGTTCAATCCAAATATCAAGAAACTGAAGCCGGAGCAAGAGGAATGTTTAGTAAATGTCATCGACGCAAATATGTTGTGGCTCTACTTCCCACGGGCTCAGTTAGTGGCAAACGAGAAGGCTAAAGCTAGGCTAAATGCTAAAGCTAGGCTAAATGCTACATGCATCACTCACTCGGGTTCATTACATACGTCACGGTAAACTCAGATCCAATGGTTTCAATCTGCAAAAGGAGTTAACCCCTCCCACCTGTAAACGGAGTCATGGAGCAAATCCAGACCTTAGTACAAAATGAAACGAGTACCATGGTGTGGTAAGACCAGGCAAGGTTTGAAGATGTTTTAATTTCCTCCGCTAAACTGTTCCAGAGAGTAAGTATGTAAGTAAGTAAGTAATCTTCATCTATTTAGCGCCTTTCTCAGACCAGAGTCAAAGCGGTTTACAATTGTGGGCATTAGTCTCTGACTCCACACAGACATGGGAGCGGGGCCAGTACAGGAGGCACAGACCTAGTGTACATGTTTTTAGTGGTAGGGGAAACCGGAGCGCCCGAAAGAAACCTACGCAGACATGAACATGCAAAACTCCTCTCAGAAAGGCCCTGTTCCAACCGGGATTTGAACCCAGGATCTTCTTGCTGCGAGAGTGCTAACCACTCAGCCACCGTGCCACTCCTCGTACTCAGACACATGGATTTTCAAGTAGTTCTAGATTTTGGTACATATAGATTATTCTCAATATAGCAAGGTGACGGATAAAATATAAATAAAAACAAAATACAGAAAATAATTAAAATAATATGAATAATAATAATCAATCAAAGAGGCAAAAAATAAGTATTATTGTCTACATAAAATATCTGTGTGTAATTAGCATTTCTTCTTCCAACATCTCTCTAAAACACAAAGAATGCGTGGTTTCCAAAACAGTCCCATTCTTTTCCTGTTATAGCAACAGACGTTCACATACGACATTTAGGATTTTCCCATTAAATATTTTTCCATTAACAATATTTTGGGATGAATGTAATTTAAAATAATAATGTCTTCTCAGAGCATAAAAACATCAGAAATCCAGATGGAAAAGAACATTGCGTACGTCCGAGTAGCAAACTTTGCCGTGATTGGCTAATGCTAAAGTTGAGGGACACGCTTCAGCAAATCAGGGCCGAGTAATCTGCTGCAACTTCTTCACTTTTCCAAATCGACTGAAGCGAAACCCAGACTGTGAAAGTGAGTTTTAACGGTTTGATCTGTCGTCAGAAACTTCACCATTTTATCAAAGTCTCTGCGACGACTGCAGTGATTTAGGGGTTTACAAAAATAATGGAATTTGTTTTAACTTGTGTTTAGTAAAAGAACGTTCTCCTCCTGATCCACGTCTAAGAAATGTGCTTTTAACTAATCAGTCCTGGATCTACAGCCTCAGTCCTGGATCTACAGCCTCAGTCCTGGATCTACAGCCTCAGTCCTGGATCTGCAGCCTCAGTCCTGGGTCTACAGCCTCAGTCCTGGGTCTACAGCCTCAGTCCTGGGTCTACAGCCTCAGTCCTGGATCTACAGCCTCAGTCCTGGATCTGCAGCCTCAGTCCTGGGTCTACAGCCTCAGTCCTGGATCTGCAGCCTCAGTCCTGGATCTACAGCCTCAGTCCTGGGTCTACAGCCTCAGTCCTGGATCTGCAGCCTCAGTCCTGGGTCTACAGCCTCAGTCCTGGATCTGCAGCCTCAGTCCTGGGTCTACAGCCTCAGTCCTGGATCTACAGCCTCAGTCCTGGGTCTCCAGCCTCAGTCCTGGATCTACAGCCTCAGTCCTGGATCTGCAGCCTCAGTCCTGGGTCTACAGCCTCAGTCCTGGATCTGCAGCCTCAGTCCTGGATCTACAGCCTCAGTCCTGGATCTGCAGCCTCAGTCCTGGATCTACAGCCTCAGTCCTTGATCTACAGCCTCAGTCCTGGGTCTACAGCCTCAGTCCTGGATCTACAGCCTCAGTCCTGGATCTACAGCCTCAGTCCTGGATCTACAGCCTGTCCGTCCATCAGAGCAGATTCCTCTCTCAAAGTGTGTGTGTCTGTGTGTCTGTATGCCTGTGTGGGTTTGTTCGTGTATGCATGTGTGTGTGCGTGTAGGCATGTGTGTATGCGTACAGGGACCTCCAGGACACAGTGGGGCTCTCCTCTTTAAAGTTGTGTTGCCGTGTGGGTGTCCTGTTAACATGTTCTGCTCTTACATCATCACTGAGCGCCAAACCCACGGTGAGGCTGCTGCAAGTGTGACATCACCCGCTGACCTGTGGGTGAGGAGAAGTTTGAGCCAATCCCAACATTCACTTTGGGAACTGCAAATGAGCTGTGCATACTTCAGCAACTTCATTATTACATCAGACGTGTCAAACTCAGGCCTGCGGGCCACGTCCGGCCCACCAGACCAGGTTTAAGGCCCCAGATTTTACTGAAATGACGAGCTACTATAGAGTGTTATACTTTTTTCAGGAAAACAACTGAATAATAATAAAGATGTTCTAAAAGTTAAACTGAAATGTTTTAGATCCAGGACTGAGGCTGTAGACCCAGGACTGAGGCTGTAGACCCAGAACTGAGGTTGTAGACCCAGGACTGAGGCTGTAGATCCAGGACTGAGGCTGTAGACCCAGAACTGAGGTTGTAGACCCAGGACTGAGGCTGTAGACCCAGATTCGCGCCCATCCATCCATCCATTTTCTTCCACTTCATCCGTTGCCGGGTCGCGGGGGCAGCAGTCTAAGCAGAGACGCCCAGACTTCCCTATCCACACACACTTCCTCCAGCTCGTCCGGGGGGACACCAAGGCGTTCCCAGGCCAGCTGAGAGACATGTCCCTCCAGCGTGTCCTGGGTCTTCCCCGGGGCCTCCTCCTGGTGGGACGTGTCTGGAACACCTCCCCAGGGAGGCGTCCGGGGGGCATCCGGAACAGATGCCCAAGCCAACTCAACTGGTTCCTCTCGACGTGCAGAAGCAGCGGCTCTACTCCGAGCTCCTCCCGTGTGACCAAGCTCCTCACCCTATCTCTAAGAGAGTGCACAGCCATACTGCAGAGGAAGCTCATTTCGACCGCTTGTATCCGCGATCTCGTTCTTTCGGTCATTACCCAAAGCTCATGACCATAGGTGAGGGAGGGAACGAAGATTGACCGGTAAATCGAGAGCTTTGCCTTTCGGCTCAGCTCCCTCTTCACCACAACGGTCCGATACAGCGACCGCATGACTGCGCACGCATGCACCGGGAACAGGTCTGACTTACTGCCGGCAATGCAAACACAGCTCTGGCTCCGGTCATACAGGGACCGGATGGCCCTCAGCAGAGGACCCCGGACCCCGTACTGCCGGAGAACCCCCCTAAGGACACCCTGGGGAATACGGTCGAAAGCCTTCTTCAAATCCCACAATAATTGGAACACACACTCCGGTTCCCCTTCTTGTAGAGACGGACCACCACCCCGGTCTACCACTCCATTGGCTCCGCCCCCGATCGCCACGCGATGTTGCAGAGACGTGTCAGCCAAGACAGTCCTACAACATCCAGAGACTTTAGATAGTCAGGACGGATCTCATCCACTCCCGGTGCCTTGCCACCATGGAGGCTGCCAACCACCTTGGTGACCTCAGCCAGGGAGATAGAAGTATCCGCCCCAACATCCTCAGCCTCTACCTCCGGGACGGAGGAGGTGACGGGGGGATTGAGGAGAACTTCAAAGTATTCCTTCCACCGTCCGACAATATCCCCAGTCGAGGTCAGCAGCTCTCCACCCGCTCCGTATACAGTGTTGGCAAAGAACTGCTTCCCCCTCCTGAGGCGCCGGACGGTTTGCCAGAATCTCTTTGAGGCCGACCAATAGTCATGCTCCATGGACTCTCCGAACTCCTCCCAGTCCCAGGTTTTTGCCTCTGCAACAGCCCGGGCCGCGGCACGCTTGGCCTGCCGGTACTGGACAGCTGCCTCAGGAGTCCCCCGAACCATCATGGCTCGATAGGACTCCTTCTTCAGCCTGACGGCATCCCTTACTGCCGGTGTCCACCATTCGTGCATACAGACCCATTTCAATACATCACAGTCACATTCTAAAACATAAAATAGAAAACTAACTCTCCTAAAGATCCCGTGGAAGGGCTGACATGAATAAAAGATGTTTGATGAACTGAGCGTGTGAAAGACTCTTGAGGCGAGTGTGTGTAAAGGAATTATGGGATTAAAGGTGTGGATCTCCTCCTGCTGCTTATGCTAAACGCAGCAAACCTCCATCCTGCTCCTGCACAGAGGGGACCGGGAGGAAGAGGAGGGAGAGGAGGAGGAGGAGGGAGATGAGGAAGAGGAGGAATAGGAGGAGAAGGAGGAGGAGGGAGATGAGGAAGAGGAGGAGGGAGAGGAGAGAGAGGAGGAGGGAGAGGCGAGAGAGGAGGAGGAGGAGGAGGAGGGAAGACGATGAATCTGCTCAAAAAAACTGTTTTTGATAAGATTAATTATGATGCTGTGTTTTCTGTGTCATTCGGTACATGCGTCAATTGCGTTAATTTTTTTAACGCAATTGTTATCGGCCGCAGCCTTCCATCGCTGCAGGACCTGTACGTCGCCTGAGCTCGAGGCCGGGCTGGTCGTATCACAGCCGACCCCTCTCACCCTGCACATGGACTATTCCAACCACTCCCCTCAGGCAGGAGACTGTGGTCCATCAGGACTAGAACCTCCCGCCACAAGAACAGTTTCTTCCCCTCTGCTGTTGGACTCTTGAACACTTCTTAACCTGTCCCCCCGCCCTTTATAAAGTCACTTTACTGCCCATCATACGTCACTTTACATCACTGTACTGCTGTCACCTTACATTGTGTGCACCATGTGCACTTGTATATTGTAAATAGTAACTGTAACTCTATTTTAAATTAAAATTTATTCCTTAGAAGTGTTTTTTATTCTTTATTTTTTATTATTTCTTTCTGACTGTTGCACTGAGCCAAAGCAATTTCCAAGTCTGTGACTTCCTGTTACTTACGTGGCAATAAAAATGATTCTGATTCTGACAACACTGGGTCCAGAAACGACAGAGTTTGGACTCTGTCTGTGATGTCAGCGTCTGCACAATACTTTTATGACTAAACTAAACAACAGCGGGTCACGCCCCGATGAGGCGGAGACAGAAGAGGACCATTCAGATCCAGTTTATTTCCAGTTTGCAGTAAAACCACATTGGAATACATGTGCGAGAGTCCACAGTCTGCACAATGCGACTACTTTAGCTTGGTTAGCAGTTAGCCTTGTTATCCCGCTGACGTTCAAAGACTTCATTTTAACCCTTTAATGGTTTCCTCAAACATTTGGTCGATCACCTTTTGTTTGGATGATTTTTGTGTCATCAGATTGTGAAATTGAAATGAGCTTGACTTTCTCCATTTGAATTGTCTAACTCTGAAAAAGCACATTTGAATATTTTAGTCTTTGTATTTCAGTCGCTAAAAATTCAGTTTACAAATTTCAAAATGACATACTTTTTGGGGCTTAGGCACTTTTACATCAAACTGCATCTTAATCATTTATTAAAGGCCTAGAATAATAATAATACAAAAATCCAAATAAGACAAAAATTACAATGCTTTCTTGAAGGAGTCAATGTTAAAGGATTAAAGAAAAAAGCCCTCAGCCCTTCCATAAATGACAACAATAGAGGGCAGAAACACACACACACACATATACTTGTCTTTATCATCTTGTGGGACCACCAGACCAGGACATGCATTGTGGGACCCAGCCTTTCTGTAGGGTTTACAGCAGCCAAAAACAATCAGGCATGGCCCCCTGGAGGCCCTGAACAGTAATATCACCTCAAAATCCAAGATTTCACAAACAATGTCCCACACCAGACTGTTACTATACTTCTGGGGACTTAGCAGGTATTGCTATACTTGTGATGCCCAATCTTACACACTGTCAGGTTTTTAGCTACTTTTAGCCCCACACATACACACTGTCGGGGTTTTAACTACTTTTAGCCGCACACATACACACTGTCAGGTTTTTAGCTACTTTTAGCCGCACACATACACACTGTCAGGTTTTTAGCTACTTTCAGTCCCACACATACACAATATCAGGTTTTTAGCTACTTTTAGCCGCACACATACACACTGTCAGGTTTTTAGCTACTTTTAGCCCCACACATACACACTGTCATTTATACTCATTAGTCTCGCCCCAAGCTCGATCTAAGTCACTTTCGCTCATATTTCAATCCTGCTGTTATCAATTTAACTGTAAAAAGTCCGTACACAGACAATGTTTCAACTTCCAACTTCTCTGGGCGTGGGCCACTGCGCAGGAAGTTCAGCTTCCTGATGGCCTTGTGAATGAAACTGTTTTTAAGTCAACTGGAACTGTTCCGTAAATTCTGCAGTCTCCTCCCTGAAGGCATTACCCCGAAGAGCCTGTGTGATGGGTGCCTAGGGTCCCTGGTGATTCTGACGGCTTTGCGGGTGAGACGGCTGGAGTACATGTCCTTAATGGTGGGGAGAGGGGCTCCGCAGATCTTCTCTGCTGCTCTCACGATGCGCTGGAGGCTCCTACGGCAGGAGGCAGTGCTGGTGCCGTGCCACCCAGTGATGGAGCTGGTCAGGATGCTCTCTATAGTCCCTCTGTAGACGTTGCACAGAACGGAGGCTGGGACTCTAGCTCTTTTTAACTTGCGGAGAAAGTAGAGACGCTGATTACTTTTCTTGACCAGTGATGTAGTGTGCATGGTCCAGGAGAGGTTCTCTATGATGTGCACACCCAGGAACTTAGTGCTGGTCACCCTCTCCACTGCAGCACTGTTGATTGTTAGAGGAGCATGCTGAACCCGTGCTTTTCGAAAGTCCACAACCATCTCTTTTGTCTTCTCCACATTTAGAGAGAGATTGTTCTGTGTGCACCACATGGCCAGACTGCTCACCTCACTCCTGTAGTTTGACTTGTCTCTGTTGCTGATGAGACCCACCACTGTTGTGTCGTCTGCAAACTTGATGAAGAGGTTTGAGTCGTACTTTGGAGCGCAGTCATGGGTCAGCAGAGTGAACAGAAGGGGGGCTCAGCACACAGCCTTGGGGAGCCCCCGTGTTCAGTGTAATGGTTCTGGAGCAGCCAGTTGCACAGTGATGTGTTGATCCCTAGGTGGAGCAGTTTGTGTATTAGCTGCTGTGGGATTATAGTGTTGAATGCTGAGCTAAAGTCTAAAAACAGCATTCTAACGTAAGAGTCCTTTGTTTCAAGGTGAGTGAGGGCATGAAGGCATGAGCGATTGACGAAGCAACTGATGGTCAGGTGGGAGAAAATGTGGGCATCCCGAAATGTTTCCTAGTTAGAGTATCCATTTTTCCCTTAGCCATTTGGTCGGGGTGCACGCGCCCATACTAGCACACCCACTGATCCTGCAGGTGATCCAGGGAGATCTTCAGTGGGCTCAGCAATGGGTAGTGCTGCCAGACAAACGAGTATCAGTGGAGCGTGAAGTAGTCTATGGGCTGAACCACGACCTCAGGCCAAGCAAGCTTCCATGAGTACTTCGCTCTGTTTTAGTTTAAGAAGTAAATCTGTAAAAATACATGACTGATGATGAAGCTGTCATTGCACCAACGATTGTTCACCAAAACCCACTTAATGAGTCACTTTTGGAAGGTAAAAGTTGGTAATATGTTTGTCATTGGTGAGTCCAGGAGTTTTGAATAAAAAGTTGAGTTGAGTATACAGACATTGATTGGTTTAATATAATTTTTATTTGTATTTTACTGAAAGTCAAATTTCACAGCACTCCTGTTAAAAGTCTTGCAGGTTCCTTAAGATCGCAGGGTCAACAGGAACTGATAGAACTCAGGCCTGTGGACCCACATCCTCTCGATAGCAAGAAAACTACACTAACCTATTATTGGAGCCATTATTACCAAATCATTTGCATTTTAAAGGGCCCGTCATGACACTAAAGTGCTATTCTCTCAAACTGTTGCATCCGATCTGAAACACTGCTTCCTATTGCATGCAACACGTCACACTAACCATTCATCCCACACACAGTGGTGGTGAGCTACTAGCCACAGCTGCCCTGAGGCAAACTGCTCCTAGTGAGGCTGCCTGTTATCGGCCCCTCCTACCACCACCTCATTCACACGCACAACATTTACACGAGGCAATGTGGGTGAAGTGTCTTTCCTAAAGGCACAACGACAAGTTTACAGCCGCCTCACTGTAGCACCTAGTTTGTGTATCCCTTTCTTTGAACCCAAATGATTAGTCTCTAAATGTAAATTAGTTTTCTGCATTTGACCCATCCTGATGGGGAGCAGTGGTCGCCGTAGTAACAGCGCCCAGGAACCCATCTCTAGATAATGAAACTATAGGCTTGATAAGGAGAACCAGAGCTGGAGGATTGAACCTATTGAGCATATTTTTAGTGGTAGGGGAAACCGGAGCACCCGGAGGAAACCTACGCAGACACGGGGAGAACATGCAAACTCCACTCAGAAAGGCCCAGTTCCGACCAGGAATCGAACCCAGGACCTTCTTGCTGAGAGGCGAGAGTGCTATTCACTCAGCCACCGTGCCGCCCGTCATAATAAAGTTGAATTTGGAGAGCAGCTTTGATTATGAGAATAATTCATGCGATTTAAATGAACCATCACAAATATCCCTGCATCCCTTTATCCATACAGCCTAGATTATAGATTTGAACTAACATTTATGACGAATGGCTAGATGCCCTTTAAAGCCGGCAAATGTCCACAACTGATTCTCAAATGTTTGTGTGGATGACTGTGCCTTAAATGTTGCTGCAGAACTGGAATGTTCTCCTTTACAGAAGGAACAGAAACATTGTCCAGACTCTTTAGATGATTCCTTGGAGCTCCCCATTTTGGATCCTTGCTCTGAGCTCTTTGACTCTGGGGTTTTCCTCCACTTGTTCAAAGTCTATGTTGTAGACCGTTGTTTGTTTGTAGATTTAAAAGTTTTTGAACGACTCTGCACAGTTCAAACTGAAGATGAAGTGCACCTTGAAGAGTTCATCGCAGAAAGTGTTTGTGGCTGGTATGGAGCACCTTATGGTCAACGACCATGTAGAACATCTGGATGTCGTGCTTCCCATCACCAACACAAAAAAGCAACGGTTGTCCAGGCTCCACCCCAACAAGAAAAGAGTCAAGGCTCCAATCTGTAAAATAGTGAGGATCGTTACTTTTTACACATACTTAAAATAGATATAAATGATTAAAAAGGAAACAAAAAAATACACAAATACAGAACTTAAAAGAATGTTTCTTTCAATATTACCAACGTACCTGCAGACATTTAACAAGGTCGATAGCTTGAGGTGAGCTCCACTTGCCACATCGTTTATCCTTCTGGAAAATGGCGATTGAAAAGGATCCTTTGTGACGTGACGTGTTTAGGGAGTCAGCATCTACAGCTTCTTGGCAGTCATCTCCGAATAGCTGGTCTTCAAGTTGTAGCCAACGCTTTCTTTTCGTGGTTAACTTAAGCAGGACAGGTAACCAGACCCACCCAGAGGGTCATAAAGGTGCTCCTTTAGAACAAAAAAAGTATTGAAAATGATTGATGTAGGTTAACAAAAGATAAGCTGTATATAAAAAGAGTACTTACAAATCCTTTTGCTGAGTAGGGATCTGAATTTAACACTTTTGAATTTGCTGTGTGGAAGTCTCTGTTGTCATTGTGTAAAAGTTCTATCAGACTTTAGGTAATGGGAGTTTGGAGTTAAAGGAATTTGTTGGTATTGGTGTCTTCTTCAGTTTTTTGTTTCTGTCCTGTTGTGTTGATTTTGACCTGTGGTGCCTGGTTCGGCCTAAACACAACACCTTGTTGTGTGTTTACCAGCGTTGCACTCGGAGGTTTTGTCTTCTTCTCTGGTGGGAACTCAGAGGTTGTGGCGGACTGTCATTTGAGCAGGTCAGAGAACTTAGAGTAATTTCCATATTCTTGATCAAAAGGGCTGTACCCTTCAATGTTGGGTGGACATCATCTGGGCGCATGAGACCGGGCTTTCCCAAGAAGGTGCTCCAGTTATCAACAAAGACAACACCATGTTGAGGGCACCAACCAGACAGCCAGCGATGGAAAGATAACATGCTGCTGTATGCTTCTTCACTGCCGGTGCTAGGAAGGGGACCAGAAAAGATAACCGTGTCCGCCATTGTGCTCGCCAGATTACAAACGGCGGCAACCTGCACCTTCAACATCTCTGCTGTTGTTTGTTTTCGCCTAACGTCATTGCCACCCGCGTGAACGACGACTAGACGAAAACGCAGCTTGTTTTGGTTCAGGACCCTCAGATTCCCCTCGATGTCACCCATCCTGGCCCCAGGGTAGCACAGAACAGTGGCCCCTGGGATCTCGACATCTCTTACAATAGAGCTGCCAATTACCAGAACATCAGCGGTTCTCTCTGTGTGGTCCTCTTCTCCGCCCGGCCGCGAGGGGTAGCTCCTGGTCAGAGCGACCGGCGGAATCTTTTCTTGATGACTTTGCTTCATCCTCTGCACCACCTTGCATTCTTCCTCCCACTTTCTTTTCATGTCTTCAGAATGCTTTTCCAGACACAAGAGCTTGGCCTTCAACTCTTTAATTGTCTGGTTTGCGTTGGCCTCCTGCTTGCTCAGCTCTTGAATGGAGTGTTCACAGGTCCTCTTGACATCCTCCACCTCATTGTTGGATTTTTCCTGAGCCACAAGAATTTTTTTCTCCGACGCAGCGTGCAAGTTTTTCAGCTGCTGTTCCATGTCCAGTATTTTTGTCTTGAACCTTTGACACAGAGCTGAGAGTTTCCCATTCTCCGCCTCCATCTTGGCAATTTCAGAGTTTTTTAGAAGGACATGTGTGCTACATTCCTTCAACTTCTTTTGGGTGCTTGCCAGACTTTACTCCAAACGGGTATTTGCAGTCTCTCTGTCCTGCATCTGGGTCTTGAGCCTGTCTATGAAACGGTTGCCTTCTTGTATATGAGATTTCAGGCAGTCTATTGTCTTATTGTTCTCAGACTTGACCTGCACAAGCTCATTCTGCATATCTCCAATCACTGCGTCTGTCTTTTTAGCAGACGTCTTCATTGCAATGTCCAAGGCCTCATTGTCCTCATGGGCCTTCTGCAGTTCCTCTTGAAGTGCTGTCTTCTCCTGAATGGTAGAATTCAATCTGTCTTGGATAGAAGTAGAGTTTTTCTCTGACTGCATTAGGGCAGTCTCCAAGGCAGATTTCTCAGTCTGGAGCTGGCTCACTTGCTCCTGCTGTTGATGACGCTCATTCTGCAGATCTCCAATCAATGTGTCTGTCTTTTTAGCAGACGTTTTATTTGCAATGTCCAAGGCCTCACTGTCCTCATGGGCCTGCTGCAGTTCCTCTTGGAGTGCTGTCTTCTCCTGAATGGTAGAATCCAGTTTTTCTTGAGTAGAGTTAGATCTCTTTTCCGCCTGCAGCAGAGCAGTCTCCAAGGCAGACCTCTCTGTCTGGAGCTGGATCACCTGCTCCTGCTGTTGGCGACTTTCCTCCAGTTGAGTCTTCTCCATCTCATTCCTCTGCATCTTCTCCCTCTGCAGGTCCTCCAAAAGACTCTTGTGTTTGTCCTGCAACAGCATCACGTCGTCTTCAAGCTTTTCAATCAGCTTGTCTTTCTTCGATTTCCTTCTAAAACACGCCATTTTGCTCAGTTTACTCCGTTAGTCCGTTTTTTGTTTGACTATATTCACAAATCACAGACAGACACACAAACACAGCAGACCCTAGCTTTGATGACGTAATGATTCCAATGGAACCACCGTTGCCATGATGATAGAACGTTCCATGCTTCTGTTGCCGTGGCATTTTTTTTCAGCTACTTTAAATGTTGGCAAAGAATCCTCATTGAAAATAAAGGAAATTACGAAAATTATAATAGATATGGATGGAGCACGCAAGATAATTACAAAATAAGTAAAAAATTGATAAAATTTTATTAAAAGTAACTGCTAACTCAAGAGCTTTGAATGTGATTTGTGAAGAAACTAAGGGCCAGTCAAGTGAACACAGAACTGGGATGAAGTGCACATAGCATCAAAAACGTAAGGGTTCTTTAGGCCATTTTTTAATTTACCGCATGTTTTTTATGGTAAGCCCCCACCTTGCCATGTGTTTTCCCTGAATATCAACAAGATCATGCCAAAGGAAAACAGGTGCAATTGGAAAGTTATTGACATTGTGAGATAATCATTTAATTTCTGCAGCTCCTGATATGATATGTCTAGAAGTCCCTGCTCACCTTTGTTCATAATAAAAATGAAATAAAGATAGATTCATAAACTGTGAAAATACATAAAGAGAACTTGAGGTTTGATGAATGCACATTGCACTCAAAAATTGAAAAATGTGTTTTTGATCACAAGTTTCTCTGAAGATACAAAGGCTGATCAGCTCCGTTGGAAAGGGCGTGTTGCTAATAATGCCAAAGATGTGGGATCAATCCCCAAACAGGCTTGCTGTGTTTTGAGAACAATGGCTAAAGAGTAGATATGTGGTGTGTTATTCTTGACATTGTGTACGTTTAAAATACAAACAGTTTATACAATATAGTTAAACCTGTGCTAATCAACTGTAAACTACATTTAAGATAAGATAAGATAGACTTTATTGATCTCACACTGGACAAATGTACATGTCACATCTGGCATGGACAGAAACACTCAGACTGTGCAAAAGAAAGAAATGTGCAAAATGTTGAATGCAGGATTTATTGTGTACAATAAAAAGTGGCAATAAGTAGTGCAGGTTTTTCAGTCCTAATGCAAGTGACTTAGATTGACACAATGTACAGTCTGACAGCAGTGGGAATGAAGGCCCTGCTCCTTCTTCCACTGAAGGAGCTCCTCAGCTCCTCCACAGTCCTGTGTAGATGGAGGTGACTTTGACTAGCACCTCCTGTCCCTCACCTCCTCCACAGAGTCCAGGGGCCTCCTGTCCCTCACCTCCTCCACAGAGACCAGGGGCCTCCTGTCCCTCACCTCCTCCACAGAGTCCAGGGGCCTCCTGTCCCTCACCTCTTCCACAGAGACCAGGGGCCTCCTGTCCCTCACCTCCTCCACAGAGTCCAGGGGCCTCCTGTCCCTCACCTCCTCCACAGAGTCCAGGGGCCTCCTGTCCCTCACCTCCTCCACAGAGTCCAGGGGCCTCCTGTCCCTCACCTCCTCCACAGAGACCAGGGGCCTCCTGTCCAGTCTGCTTCTCTCCCGCTCTGTGCTGCCCGGGGCCCAGCACACGGCAGTGTAGTACTGTATATACAGTATATGGCAGAAGCTAAGGGTTTATTCTGTAGGAAAGTCATATCAAGGACAAATCCAATGTGATCTTCAGTTTTGACATACATGTATATTTGAGAAGGGTCTGTCTGAAGCCTGCAAGACAGAGGCGTGTCGTGAAGTAGGCGTGTCTTGTAGACCACGGGATCAGCCTACACCTACAGCTACGTCACCGTGGGGGAGTTCGTGGCCTTCTTCATCGGCTGGAACCTGATTCTGGAGTATTTGATCGGGACGGCAGCCGTGGGCCTCGGCGCTCAGCAGCATGTTCGACTCTCTGGCCAATCACACCGTCAGCCGCTACATGATCACTCACCTGGGGACTCTGCGAGGCCTGGGTAAAGCACATTGATGAATAAATGTGTTTGATTAAACTTTTCCTGCTTCTACTCAAAGGCATAAGTAGCTCATTGTGATACATGTGGAACATTTCAGATCCCAATATTGATCTAAAACCATGTAATATGACGCAAATTCACACATCACTAAAATCATTAGCAGAAAAAACCTCACGTTAAAGGCCCTGTAGGCTTTTCTATGGCCGCAGATCAAGTTAGCGATCAGCAAATTCTTTCATTTGAGAAAAAATGCCTGTTCAACACTCTTTATGCCTCAGTCCTCGTTCTACGGCTGACTCCTGGTGGTCAGTGATGATTCACGACATCTACGGACATTATAAACCATAAACCTTTCTGAACAGTGGTCATGCTGCTCCCTGTGGACCAATGGCTGTGTTCGTTCATTGCCATTCACACACTAGACTCCTCCTAGGCAATGTGGGTGAAGTGTCTTGCCTAAGGACACAGCAACAGTTTGGCACTTTACAATACAGTCTCAGCCGCCCCTCTCTGGCACCTGTTAGAGAATCAACAACACACACACACACAGAGACATACACACACACACACACACACAGAGACACACACAGACAGACACACACACACACACACACACACACAGTCACACACACACAGACACACACACACACAGACACAAACACAGTCACACACACACAGTCACACACAGAGACACACACAGTCACACACACACACACAGAGACACACACACACGCACACACACAAAAATCATGTACAGTAAATGTCTGATTGTATATGTTCTTATGACTGCACCTGTGTTGTGCGTGTGTGTGTTTGTGTGTGTGTGCGTGTGTGTCTGTGTGTGTGTGTGTGTTTTAACAATAGAATAAAAGCAGCAATAAAACCTGGCACCATCTGTTTTTCCATAATGTTCTTGTATAACTCTAATCCCAGCAGAACAATCCTTTCACTGGATCAGGATCTGATTGTGTGTTGTGTGTATCTTGTTGTGTGTTTCTCTCCCAACGCCACAACTTAAACCACGGCTCAACAAAGGAAAGGCAGCATTTTAGTTTTCCTCCTGCTCTTTCAGACTGGTTTGAGATCAATCCTTTCTGGCGTTTTTGTGTTTATTTGGTATTGGTTTCTCTCTGGTCTCTCTCTCTGGTTTATCTACTGTATGGTCTCTCTCTGGTTTATCTATGGTCTCTCTCTGGTTTATCTATGGTCTCTCTCTCTGGTTTATCTATGGTCTCTCTCTGGTTTATCTATGGTCTCTCTCTCTGGTTTATCTATGGTCTCTCTCTCTGGTCTCTCCCTCTGATCTCTCTTTCAGATTTACCTATGGTTCTCTATGGTCTCCCTTGGTGTCTATATGGTCTACATATGATCTCTCTCTGGTCTCTTTCTCATCTATCTCTCTGGTCTCTTTCTGGTCTCCGTCTGAGCTCTCTTTCAGGTTTACCTATGGTCTCTTTTGAATTGATGTCCGTGATGAAAACCCGGAGGTTCCAGGGTCTCAGACCTTTCCTCAAAGGCTCAGTGTGGCTGCAGGTTTTCACTCCCACCAAACAGGAGTACACCTGACTCCAGTCCATGAGCGCTGACGTGCTGCAATCTGACTCCAGGCCTGTGGGGGTGTACCCGGAAAGAGAATTACCCAATGCTTTTGTATGGCGTTTTCTTTCCTCTCAATAACCTCTTTACAGGATGCTCCAAAAGTAGTTCTCGGTCCAAAAATGGCTCTTGGTCCAAAAGTGGTTCTTGGTCCAAAAGTCTGGTTTAGCCACTGTGGACTTCAGAAGACATTTGTTAAACAAATGGGGCTCGAGCTGACACATGCACAAATGCGGTTTTTTTTTTCAAATTTTCCAGCCCCCGTGACCATTTTGAAAAAGTGGAGACAGATTAGTTTGAACAGCGGTCAATATGGTCTCTTTGGTCTATATATGGTCTCTCTCTGGTCTATATATGGTCTCTCTCTGGTCTATATATGGTCTCTGGTCTCTCTTTCAGGTCTCTCTAGTCTATTTTGGTCCCTCTCTGCTCTCTCTTAGCACATAAATGAAAACACAAAAATGTGTTTTTTTAGATTTTTTTTTTCTGCTGCTGACACTTTGCTTTAGTCTTTTTTAATTGATGAGAAGAGACAGAAGAGGAGAGAGGAAAAAGAGGGGAAAGAGGAAAGAAAGGAGATCGAATAGAGAAAGGAGAGAGAAAAAAGCTTATTTCAGTGACTTACCCCTCCAAGCTGAGAATATCTATGTGACATATAGAATTGAAAGCACACACAAAAAAAACACTGAAAATGTGTGTTTTTAGAATCTTTTTCTCGGCTTTGCTCTGTGTTGACGTGATGTTGACGTGATGTTCTGGATTGAATCCCAGGAGGTGACTCAGAGGTGTTTTTGAGCCGAGCTGCAGCTCTACCTCAGCTCTGGGATGTGATCAGGACCTACTGTTAGTGAACGAGGAGGTCATAACAACATAGACTCAGACAGGACTTCACCGTCACAACTTCATTTTGGCTAATCAACATAATAAAAATAATAATTTAATAATAATTGGTTTTACATAGCGCTTTTTTGGACGCTCAAAATTTCTTCACATCATTATTCATTCTCTCCAAACACAATGGCTCTTGTTTTCTTTAGCACTTTGAGCTGCCTTGTGGATAAAGGCCCTATCCCAACACCCACACTGCCCCCTACACTCCTCTACGAAGTGTGCATTTGTTTGAAGTGCACCCAAGGGTTTGAGTGGCAGGTTACAACAAAAAAGGCGGAATTGGGAGAGTGCACACTGAGTGCAGTTTACGTCATCGACTCGGTGGGCCAACATTTTTGGTTGGCCCGCCGAATTCCCTTGGCCGAATCTTTGATATGCGTTCATATACTGTACTTTGATATCGGGCAACTAGGATGTGGACATGATAAACATTCCTTAACTGTGGGGCGTCTGGTACTTAACTGCGGTTTAGGGTTACATGCCTCACTCATGGTTCATCAACTTTCAGACTAAAAGGCTTTTGAAACACTTATGAAAAAAATTGGCTACAAGGCACCTTTATGTTGTCTATTTTTTTTTTCAGCCTATAGTGATTTTGTTGTAATTTTATGTTTTACCAATTTGATAAAACATATAAAAGTGCAAAGCGCAATGGCTTATGGGGGATCCTCCCCATAAGCTACAGAACAAAAGAACTGAATTACAGACAGACAGAATTACCTGTCCAAACAACACGCAAACCATAACGACCATTTTCAGAGAGAGAGAGAGAGAGAGAGAGAGAGAGAGAGAGAGAGAGAGAGAGAGAGAGAGAGAGAGAGAGAGAGAGAGAGAGAGAGAATACAGTGGCATTTTGACCGGACCATTGACGGATTTGCGTGCAGCTTTAAAGGTCCAAATGTACACATATTTTAAACCAGCTTTATGGAAATATCAATCGAAAGAGTTCAGAGAGAGACCTGAGAGAGACCAGACTTTTCTTTCGAAAAACCCGTTCAACACAATGTTACAGAGCAAAATAACTGAATTACAGACAGTTTTGGAAAGTTAGTTGTTCTTTGCCGATGCAGAAGGGTCTGAGGACAGGGGTGATGATCCAGGTCACTCCACAATCAACATTTATGGACATTACCAATTTCTTTAGACGCTGTTCCTCTGCCCCTTATGGATCAATGACTCTATAAGGTTTTCATCATTGATTTTCTCGTGTTAAAAGTTTGATTCTCTGATCTGTGCTGGCAAATCGACAACTTTGTAAAGTCTTCCAAGATAATTACTGTTGTACCTGTCCAAACAACACGCAAACCATTACCACCGATTTCCGAGAGAGAGAGAGAGAACGGAGAGAGATCAGTGGTGTTTTGACCGGACCATATGTTGACAGATTTGAGTGCAGCTTTAAAGGTCTAAACATACACATATTTTAAACCAGCTTTATGGAAATATCAGTGGAGAGAGTTCAGAGAGAGTTCAGAGAAAGACCTGAGAGAGCTCAGAGAGAGACTAGAGGGAGACTGGAGGGAGACCAGAGAGAGACCAGAGAGAGACCAGAGAAAGACCAGAGAGACCGGAGAGAGAGATCAGAGAGAGACCAAATAGGGACCAGAGAGAAAGACCAGAGAGACCGGAGAGAGAGATCAGAGAGAGACCAAATAGGGACCAGAGAGAGATTGGAGAGAGACCAAATCAGAATCAGAATCATTTTTATTGCCGCGTAAGTAACAGGAAGTCACAGACTTGGAAATTGCTTTGGCTCAGTGCAACAGTCAGAGAGAGAGAATAAAAATAAAGAATAAATAAAAAACACTTAAGAATACATTTAAATTTAAAATAGAGTTACAGTTATTATATACAATATACAAGTGCACATGGTGCACACAATGTAAGGTGACAGTAGTACAGTGTTCAAGAGTCCAACAGCAGAGGGGAAGAAACTGTTCTTGTGGCGGGAGGTTCTAGTCCTGATGGACCGCAGTCTCCTGCCTGAGGGGAGTGGTTGGAATAGTCCATGTGCAGGGTGAGAGGGGTTGGCTGTGATACGACCGTGATGGCCGTGTAGAACTGCACCAACATCTGTGCAGGCAGCTTGGCTTTCCTGAGCTGCCGCAGGAAGTACATCCTCTGCTGGGCCTTCTTGATGAGGGAGCTGATGGTCGGCTCCCACTTGAGGTCCTGGGTGATGGTGGTGCCCAGGAAACGATAGGACTCCACAGAGGTGATGGGGGAGTCCATCACGGAGGGTGGGGGACAGAGGTGATGGGGGAGTCCATCACGGAGGGTGGGGGCGGCGGGACAGTGCTCTTCCTGAAGTCCACAATCATCTCCACTGTCTTCTGGGCGTTCAGCTCCAGGTTGTTACCACTGCACCAGGACACCAGCCGGTCCCTCTTGTAGGCGGACTCATCGTTGTTGGAGATGAGTCCAATGAGGGTGGTGTCGTCC